ACAGAGTGGTAGACGGTTGGAACAAGTTAGGGGAGAAGGTGGTGGAGGCCAAGACCGTCAGTAGTTTCAAAGCGTTATATGACAAAGAGTGCTGGGAAGACGGGACACCACGAGCGTAGCTCTCATCCTGTAACTACACTTAGGTAATTACAAGACCCAGCCAGGTCTGAACCTGGGAGGGAACCAGATGGGAGTTCCTCCAGTTCACCAAAAACCCGAACCCAGCGAGCTGAGAAAGAACCAAATCCCTGGCCAGCAGACAACAGGACCGCTTGGGACCCCAAACCAGCCAGTCGTCGAGGTAGGCCAACACCCGAACACCTAACAGATGCAGACGGATCACCACGACCCACATAAGGAGTGTGAAAACATGAGGTGCCAGGTTCAATCCAAACGGGAGACAACGAAAGCGGTAAGAATGAAGCCCCACAACAAAACCAAGCCAGTCCCTGAACCCCGGATGAATCGGGACGTGCCAATAAGCGTCCTGGAGGTCCAGTAGGGACACCATCCAAGTGCCCGGCTCCAACAGGAGCCGGACCTGGGACAACGTGGTCATCCGAAAGGAGGGGCAATGAACCCAGGGGTTCAGACAGGAGAAGTCTAGAATGAACTGCAGGTCCGCGCAGTCCCGTTTCGGTACCAGAAACAGACAGGAAACCCATCTGAGGGACGTCGTCATTTCGACCACGCCCAAGCAAAACTACACCAAGACGACCTGACGAGCGCAGGGAAAGAAGGCTGCCCCGCCAGCCCCGAACCCCCTGCAAGGGGGGCCACCCAACGCCACCGGAAGCTGCGCGAAACGACCCAAAACGCCCACAAATCTTGGGACCCGGCATGAGCAAACAGCACAAGCTTCCCCCCCAATGCCCCATCAATGGGACGAACTGCGAAAGGGCCGGCGTCCCCTTACGAGACCCAGAACTTCGCACAGAGCGAACACCGCACCGACCAGACGAAGGCGAGACCGAAGGAGGAGCCGAACCCAAACCCCGACACCAGTGGCCTACCACGACGAGAGAAACCCCGAGCCTAGGCATGACCCTTCTGGGAACGCCCACCACGAAACCCCCAGAGAACCAGCAAGTCCGACATAGGATGGCAAGAAGCTGAAGCAGCCTGAATATACTGCGCAATGGTGGAAGCTGAACATGGAGCTGAACGACACCAACATCCCGGGAAAGGGCAGGAGCAAAGAAGCATTCATTGAGGTGCTCAAGGTTGCTCCTCCCCCAGTAAAACCTGAAACATCATCGAAGCCTCCCGCCACTCAAGCATACGGGAACGGCAGAAGGAGTGCTAAGCCTCCAAGGCAAAGACAGGACAGTCCACCAGCCAGGACAACTCCAGACTTCGTAACGGAGCCAGAAAGGGAACGAAGTCCCAAACCTGAAAGCCGAGGGATCAATTGCTGAGGCATAATCCGGGTCATGCAGGAGGTTTGCCACAAGGACCACCCACACTGCAGCCGGTTGGATGCAGTAAGCTGAAAAACTCCGGAAAGACGGAACCGAAGAACCCAGGGAGGGGGGGCAGACACCAAGTCCAACTCGTACTCAGAGGGGGAAAAGAAAACCCCACTCCTTGTAACAGTAAGCCCCGCTCAGAGGGCAGAAAAACCCAGGCAGGGTCCAGCGGGACCCAAGGCCCCCAAGTCAGCCCCTCCTCAGCCCCAAGGTCCTCCTCAGCAGGACCCGGGGTCGAGTCCTTCCCCCCAAGCTCCAACCCCACCAGACAAGGCCGGCGCAGCCATAGAAGCCAGACAGAAGAGGGCCCACTGGTCAGACCCAGAGGCTTCGGCCGGGGGACTAGACTCGAATGCCTCCGTCACCACACCGGAAGGGGGAATCCCCCGAGGCTGCCCGAGTCTCAAGACCAACTAACCCCTGCCCCTACTCCGAAACCCTCAGATGTTTCGGGGCTGGAAGCAGGGGAGGGGAACCAGAACGAACAACAGGAGGGGAAGGACGAGGAGGTATGGACTGAATCAGGGTCGAAGCGACCCCCGCCCCCAAGTCCGGGTCCCTATAAGCAAAACGGGGCAGCAACAGGGCATCCGGGTGAGTAACCTACCGAGCGCGTTGCAACAAATGAAACCTAGAATGCATCGCCTGTGCAGCCTGTATCCAAAGATGATCATCCACAGATTGGGTAAATTGAGTCACTAGCAAGCAACAAAACTCACAGGACTCCGGGTCAAAAGTGTCACCGACCCAACAGGCTGCATGATGGAGGCAAAACAGTGAGGAGTGAAGGTCGCCCTGAGACAAGGGGATCGAACAACCCTCAAACTCACATGAAGTGAGGGGGAGACTCCGGGGTCACATCCATCGGACCCACGCATCCCCTAGGGGATTCCCAGGGTCCTGGGCGTTTACTTGAAGAGGACTCGTGCTCAGGTAAACCCAGGCAGGGTACTGCAAACCGGCACCCAAAACTTCTGTCTACAGCTGAACCTCAGGGACGTGTACCTTCACAGGGACCAAGCAGGGGGCACCACCAAGTATCTGGATGAGGCCAAACACCAGTGGCAAGTAGGGCAGAACCCCCACCAAGGCACAAAGAAAAAGAAAAACAAAACCCCGCAAGAAGACAACGTACCCCAAGGAACAGAGCCGGCCGCTGTGATAGGTGACAACAAGCTGCGCAGCACCCTGCATCCCTTACCAGTGCAAAAACTGCCTCTTACCCCTAAGGTAAACGAGGGAGACAAAACACCCAAGTACCCAAAGGGCGGCCGAAAAACCGAGCAGTTAAACGGACCCACAGAGGCAGACCCCGAGGAACTTGTGGAAGGTAATCCCAAGCTCCAAGGGCAGTACTCACAAGGCACCTAGGGAAGGGAACCCTAGGTGCATGCAGCCCGAGTACTGAACATTAACTCTTGGCTCTCGCACCCCTGGAGTACAAGCTGCCACACACAAGGCACAGCACCGCAAACAGACTGAAGTTAGAGCACACAACCAAGCCGATAGCATCAGCCTCAAGAACTGAGATGTGGATCGTCGGCACAGTGGGTCTGGGGCTCTCCCTGGGGAGCTGCGCAGACAGCGGCACAATGACAGGTGACGTCATACTAGTTTGCTCATTTTTGTTTGGGGAGTTCTATCCACTCGTTTGGCTTTTGGTTGCAATTTTCACCAGAATAGGGGTTTGTTTTGGGACGCTTACCTTTCTGGGTGCCTAACCTGGTCGATGGCAGACATAGAATGCTTCCAATTACACAGGGGTTTCTATAGCATTGCTCCCCTTGCCTCTCTAGAGGGGGCCAGGTTCTGGCTTGTGGTCCCCAGTAGGCCCAAAGAACTCCATACACATGACTGATCCCAACCAGCCGCATACTCTAACCTACCACTTAAGCTGCTAAGGGGTCCTGAGGAGATTTACACCCTGTGGCTTGTGCTGCAAGAAAAAAAATTTTCTCAATATATATCATTTACTGTATTGTGATTTTCGTCTTCTAAAAATGTTAATTTGTGTTCCCTGAGCACCCCTGGCGGTGAAAAAAAAATCTAAAAAATCGTAGGTGACATATTTTGAGCGCAATAGGTCGAGGAAGTCTGGCAAAATGTGGGCGTTGACAGAGCGATCGTCAGAGCTGGTCAGCACTACCCGAGTTGACAGGTGGGAGTTGCCACAAAGATATTATCACCTAATTATTTCAATGTCTCTGATTTATTTTTTCTTAGTTTTTTGCAGTAATATTATTCAATAGTGTGTAGTGTGATAGATTTATATAATAAAATGTGTGAATCATCACTATACTCAAAAGTATGGTGTTCACATTAGTGATTCAATTATTACGTTCATAAAGCAATAAACAAATAGCTTTCAGTTATTACACTATACACACATTATATATAAATATCTACATGTTTTGTTCACCACAACTGTACAACTAAGCTTATATAGTTAGTTCAGGCAGTAAGAGACATCGCTACGCACAGAGTCAGCTGGCGGCTGCCTCCCTCACTCATTCAAGGTCAGGCGCACTAAAATTTCTCCCCCAACAATACTGTTTGGGGTGTTATTACACTATATACACACATTATATATAAGTATCTACATGTTGTATGCACCGTAACTGTACACCTAAGCTTGTTGGGTGCCCAAAGAGCATAATGGCCACCCTCTACACAGCCAGACAAGTCATGCAGACGACGCCACCTCGTCACCCAAATGGCTCCTCCCAACATAATCCTTTTGCTGTTATTACACTAATACACACATTATATATTAGTATCTACATTTGTGTTCACCATAGAGAACCACTGAGCTGGTATGGCGAATGCAGACAATAACAGGTGACCACAGTCAGTAAACGACGCTATCTCCCTCCCTCCCACATCATTACTACTCCCACACAGCGCTAATTATCACAACAATCCTGCTATTATCACAATCTTGGTCATTTTTATCACAGGGGTCATGTGTAATTTTGTCATCACTAAATAATAGCAGTTACATATTTATTTTGACATTTTTAGGCAATGCTGTGGTCACAAGCTGAACAGCAATGCTGTTAGCTCATGCTGCGTGCGCCAGCCTTGGTTGCTCTGACAGTACTGTGGCTCTTACACTGGAGAATATTGCCCACAATTTTTTTTAAACATGGCGTCTGTTTACAAGAGCCCTGAGGAAGCTGATGTGAACCCCGTGTAGCCGCGGGCCATTTGAATCGTGCCTGGCACCCTATGGCATATATATATGCAATGCGCACTGTGGGACATGTTGCTCATGGCATATATATACGCCATGCACAGTTTAAGGGATAAAATAACCTGGATGTTTCATGTGTAATATTCTGAACAGCTTGATACAGGTAATATGGTAATACAATATATTACTGTAAATTTCAATGAATACTTAATACTGTACAGTTAAATCATTATTCTGCAGAAAGGTCATTTATATCACAACATTCCTGTACAGTAAATTGCTCCTTGTGTAAGAAGACTGCAGCATATGATGCTGGAGTCAACCAGGATTTCACTGACCTGGGCACCCACCACCATCATAGCCAGTCCCGCTGCCACTGCCCACCACCCTACACTTGCACTGCAACGCATGGCTCCGCCTCTGCAAAACCAACCTCATTTTCAATTACATATCTGAAAATATTGAATGTAAATTACTTCAATAGGCATGTTCTGATTGCATCAATATATTTTAAGAAGTTATAAGGCAGATGATGAAAAATGCGAGTGATCCCTCACTGTCTCATTGCCTGGGGAGATGGGATATCTGGTTGGTTAAATACCTAGGAATTCCCACCTCTAGGGCTCTGAAGTATGGTGTAGTGGATACAAGTGCGTACCTGTCATCCTGATGGCCAGTATTCGAGTCCCCTGGTGGGTGGGTGTGAGTGTATAAAAGTTTCATATATTTATATTTTATATATATATATATATATATATATATATATATATATATATATATATATATATATATATATATATATATATATATGTCGTACCTAGTAGCCAGAACGCACTTCTCAGCCTTCTATGCAAGGCCCGATTTGCCTAATAAGCCAAGTTTTCATGAATTAATTGTTTTTCGATTACCTAACCTACCTAACCTAACCTAACTTTTTCGGCTACCTAACCTAACCTAACCTAACCTATAGAGATAGGTTAGGTTAGGTTAGGTAGGGTTGGTTAGGTTCGGTTATATATCTACGTTAATTTGAACTCCAATTAAAAAAAATTGACCTCATACATAATGAAATGGGTAGCTTTATCATTTCATAAGAAAAAAATTTGAGAAAATATATAAATTCAGGAAAACTTGGCTTATTAGGCAAATCGGGCCTTGCATAGTAGGCCGAGTACGACGTTCTGGCTACTAGGTACAACATATATATATATATATATATATATATATATATATATATACTTTTTTTTTTTTTTTTTTTTTTTTTTTTTTTTGAGATATATACAAGAGTTGTTACATTCTTGTACAGCCACTAGTATGCGTAGCGTTTCGGGCAGGTCCCTGGAATACGATCCCCTGCCGCGAAGAATCGTTTTTTCATCCAAGTACACATTTTACTGTTGCGTTAAACAGAGGCTACAGTTAAGGAATTGCGTCCAGTAAATCCTCCCCAGCCAGGATACGAACCCATGACATAGCGCTTGCGGAACGCCAGACGAGTGTCTTACCACTACACCACGGAGACTGTAACATATATATATATGTTATATTCATATTATATATATATATATATATATATATATAAATATATATATATATATATATATATATATATATATATATACACATACACACACACACATACATATATACATACACACACACACTTAGGTAATTACACATACACAAACAAGCCTGAATGGTCCCCAGGACTATATGCGACTGAAAACTCACACCCCAAAAGTGACTCGAACCCATACTCCCAGAAGCAACACAACTGGTATCTACAGGACGCCTTAATCTGCTTGACCATCATGACCGGACATAAGGAAGTGATAGCCGAAGCTATATGAACCACTTCCCCGCCGGCACTCGGATGGTAATCTTGGGCATAGCATTTTATCAAATCACCTCATTCTTTGGGGCACCCATGAGGAACACAAATGCGAACAAGCCTGAATGGTCCCCAGGACCATTCAGGTGCCCCATTCATGCCCCAAAGAATGAGGTGATTTGATAAAATGCTATGACTTCAGAGGCAGAAAGAAATTTTGAAAAAGGGATTGCAGACAAATGTAAAACAGAACCAGGTCTATTCTATAAATTCATAAACAACAAATTGCAGGTAAAAGATAATATTCAGAGGTTGAAAATGGGAAACACATTCACGGAAAATGAAAAGGAAATGTATGAAACATTAAATGAAAAGTTCCAAAGTGTGTTTGTATAAAAATGAAATCTTCAGAGAACCAGACATAATAAGAATTCCAGACAACAACATAGAGTGGATAGAGGTGTCTAGAGACGAAGTGGAAAAAATGCTCAAGGACCTTGGTAAGAACAAAGTAGTTGGTCCAGATGGAGTTTCACCATGGGTTCTGAGAGAATGTGCACCTGAGCTCAGCATTCCACTTCAACTGATTTTTCAGGCATCCCTATGTACAGGAGTTGTAGCTGATGAGTGGAAAAAGGCTAACTTAGTTCCAATCTACAAAAGTGGCAACAGGGAAGAACCCCCTCAATTATAGACCTGTATCATTGACAAGTGTAATAGTGAAAGTATTGGAAAAAATAATTAAAACTAAATGGGTAGAACACCTGGAGAAAAATGATATAATATCAGACAGATAGTATGGTTTTCGATCTGGAAGATCCTGTGTATCGAATTTACTCAGTTTCTATGATCGAGCCACAGAGATTTTTCAGGAAAGAGATGGTTGGGTTGACTGCATCTATCTGAACCTAAAAAAGGCTTTCGGCAGAGTTCCACATAAGAGGTTGTTCCGGAAACTGGAACATTTTGGAGGGGTGACAGGTAATCTTCTAACATGGATGAAAAATTTTCTGATTGAAAAATGAGGGCCGTAATCAGAGGTAAAGTATCGGACTGGAGAAAAGTCTCAAATGGAGTACTACAGGGTTCAGTTCTTGCACCGGTGATGTTCATTGTCTATATAAATGATCTACCAGATGGAATACAGAATTATATGATGCTAAGATAATAGGAAGGATACGAAACTTAGATGATTGTCATTCCCTTCAAGAAGACCTGGACAAAATAAGTATATGAAGCACCACTTGGCAAATGGAATTTAATGTGAATAAATGCCATGTTATGGAATGTGGAATTGGAGAACATAGACCCCACACAACCTATAAATTAAGTGAGAAATCTTTAAAGAATTCTGATAAAGAAAGAGATCTAGGGGTGGTTCTAGATAGAAAACTATCACCCGAGGACCACAAAGAATATTGTGCGAGGAGCCTATGCCACGCTTTCTAACTTCAGAATTGCTTTTAAATACATGGATGGCGATATACTAAAGAAATTGTTCACGACTTTTGTTAGGCCAAAGCTAGAATATGCAGCGGTTGTGTCGTGCCCATATCTTAAGAAGCACATCAACAAACTGGAAAAGGTGCAAAGACATGCTACTAAGTGGCTCCCAGAACTGAAGGGCAAGAGCTACGAGGAGAGGTTAGAGGCATTAAATATGCCAAAACTAGAAGACAGAAGAAAAAGAGGTGATATGATCACTACATACAAAATAGTAACAGGAATTGATAAAATCGATAGGGAAGATTTCCTGAGACCTGGGACTTCAAGAACAAGAGGTCATAGATTTAAACTAACTAAACAAAGACGCCGAAGAAATATAAGAAAACTCTCTTTCGCAAGCAGTGGTAGACGGCTGGAACAAGCTAAGTGAGAAGGTGGTGGAGGCCAAAACCGTCAGTAATTTCAAAGCGTTTTATGACAAAGAGTGCTGGGAAGACGGGACACCACGAGCGTAGCTCTCATCCTGTAACTACACTTAGGTAATTACACACACACACACACAGCACACACACTAAAAGCTTAAATCTTATAATTATACTAAGCACACAGTTTGCCTGCAAATATATACATGGTAATCACTCATTTGCTGTTGTTAAAAGTTCAATGGTTCCTAGCTGGCTGCCCTTTACGTCCAGATGCTGGATGGTGATGTGCCAGACATGGTCCTCATCTTTTTACTAAGAAAAATGGGGTGCTCAGGATTTTTTTCAAGATGGGGGGGATGGTTACCAGAGGCATGAGGAAGCAAATGTGAGCCACATTTGGCAAATGGGGAGCCGGTCGACCGAGCGGACAGCACGCTGGACTTGTGATCCTGTGGTCCTGGGTTCGATCCCAGGCGCCGGCGAGAAACAATGGGCAGAGCTTCTTTCACCCTATGCCCCTGTTACCTAGCAGTAAAATAGGTACCTGGGTGTTAGTCGGCTGTCACGGGCTGCTTCCTGGGGGTGGAGGCCTGGTCGAGGACCGGGCCGCGGGGACACTAAAGCCCCGAAATCCTTTCAAGATAACTTCAAGATAACCCCAGAGCTCCCAGGACCTCTCCAGTGTGGAGCAGCGCCGCACCATACACGGCTCATAGTCCTAACGTGATACGAGTTTAAGCAAAATACGAACTAGCAAAGTTGCAGCATTTATAGTTACCCAAAGTGTCCAAGGTCGATATGTAATATATATATATGATATATATATATATATGATATATATATATGACCTTCCCAACCATGTTAAAGACTGTACCTCTCTCAACCAGCTTAAGTTAAAAGCGAAGCTATACCTAATAAATTCCCTGTAACCTATCTTACCCTCCTATTGTCAACCAATGTCTGTTTTTTCTTTAAAGAGCGCTGTTTGTCGACATAATTGTATTTGTGCTGCTTTTTCATCTATGTTTTCATTTCTTGTTTTCATTCTACTCATTATGCTCAATTAGTATTAAGCTTTAGTCATTTAAGTTTATCATGCCCGAAACGCTTTGCGTAATAGTGGCTTTAGGCATTGTATGTACTAGCTATACCTATAAGTCAACCAATCTTTGTATAAATTTATTGTATGTATGTACCTTACCTAAATAAAATTGTATTGTTGTATTGTATTGTATATAATAACCTTGTTCAATGGCGGCCAATGCTGGAGGACACAAGCGCCCACTGTTACCACCTCGCACTGGCTGCTACCACCTCGCACTGGCTGCTCCCATCATGGTAACCACCTCATTTTCTCCTCATTATTACACTCTGATAAACAACTTAGACAAAGAAAATAAATTATATTCTAGATATATAATTAAATTTGTTTTCAATATTTTATAAAAAACTATAATTCACTATAATAACAAAATTATACATTCATATGACTGGCAACGATGACCAGTTTTGTCGACAAATGTAGCATTCATTAGTGGATTACAGAATATTAATAATAATGATAATGATGATTATGGTAATTTCCGATCCCTCGATCGTCGTCGCTCCTAAATCAACAACATTATGGTGATTATATTGATGATCACAATGAATGATGATGATCGGTGTATAGATTAGTTGTCAGAGATTATCTTAAATAATAAATAATAAATATAAATAAATATGTTTATTCAGGTAAGGTACATATATACAAGTAATGTTACATTAATGGATCGATATATAGATAGAGCTAGTGCATACAATGCCTAAACCCACTATTACGCAATGCGTTTCGGGCAGATAGATGATAGATGATGATCTTGATAGATGATGATTTTGGTGATGATACTGATTGGTGATGATTTTTTTTACGGGAGACATCTCCCGTCACGCAGGGTGCAGTTGCACCTCCACAGATCTCCAGTATCAGCTCTTGATACTAGTAATGGCTCAAAAGAGCCACCACTT